CTAAACTCCCATTATATGTGGGTAACATGCGAGTGGTATGACCTAAACTCCCATTATATGTGGGTAACATGCGAGTGGTATGACCTAAACTCCCATTATATGTGGGTAACAAGCGAGTGGTATGACCTAAACCCCCCTTATATGTGGGTAACATGCGAGTGGTATGACCTAAACTCCCATTATATGTGGGTAACATGCGAGTGGTATGACCTAAGTGTTGTTTGAGATAAAGAAAAGTTTGCAAGAGAAAATATCTTCATTTCAATACACAAATTTCAGTAGGACACCTAATGTTATTGTAATTCTTGAAAGGTTTGGTTATCAACAAGGAACTCTCCAAATGAGTTATTTTTATACAGTTTACACTTGCTGCCAGGTCTGAAAAATTGGAAATGATAGCTTTCTCTTGTTTTTATTCTTAGGCTGAAGGCAAAGCTCCTATGAAGAACCTGAAATCAGTAAAAACAGAAGAAGAAGTCAAGAACATTTTTATCATGTTTTTTGGAGAGAACCTAGTGCTTTATGAGATGATCCTAGAAAGGCTTAAGTTGCTAAGATCAAAGTTTGAAAAGTCTCCCTTCTTTCAAACTCATGAGGTACATTAAACCTTATGATTATGTACAGAATTTCAGACTTGTTTTGTAAAAAAAGGTGTTGAAGAAATAGACAACAATCAAACTAAAATAGTAACCCTGACAAAATTTGTTTCCAATTGTTTTATTACATTGATTCATACATTATTATGATAAAATTGATACAAGGCTTTAATATTACAATTTTAAGCAACATTTGCATGAAGTTTCATTGTCTTTTGTCTTGTAAAATACAAAAGTGTGGCGTAAAAATGTGTATTTGACTTTGAATTGAGTTAAATGTATTTATTATTTCAATTATTCAAGTTTATATTTTGTTAATATTAAAATGTTAGAATTCAGGGTACTTGTGTAAATGTAATTAAAACATTCAATGGTTTCAAGACAGTCTACATGTTTTCTACAGGTCACATGATTCAATGTTAAAAAATGTCATGTCTGTTTTGAGACCTTTGATGTTCTCATAATAAAGGTTTTAATTGTGTACTTAAGAAACGGGCCTGGCATGGCCAGGTGGTTAGGACGCTCGACTTGCAATCTGCGGGTCGCGGGTTTGAATCCTCGTCACACCAAACATGCTCGCCCTTTCAATCGTGGGGTCTTTATAATGTGACAATCAATCCAACTATTTGTTGGCAAAAGAGGAGCCCAAGAGTTGGCTAGCTGCCTTCCCTCTAGTCCTACACTGCTAAATTAGGGATGGCTTGCGCAGATAGCCCTCATGTAGCTTTGCTTGAAATTCAAAACAAACAAACAAAGAAAACTTAAAAAACATTGATCATTTTAGTGTTTTAACTATAATATACATATTAAAGAAATGAGATATTCCAATTACTTTTAAATCTTCCTTCTTTAGGTGTAAAAATATTGATTTTCATTTTATAACTTTAACATTTTTGTATCTCCAGGTGATAGGCAGCAGTTTGTTAATAATCCATGATGGAAGAAAAACTAATGCTTGGATGATTGACTTTGCCAAAACCAAACCTGTCCCCAGAGGCTTTTGTATAGGTCATTTTAGTCAGTGGGTTCTTGGAAATCATGAAGATGGTTACCTGTTTGGTCTCAATAACCTTATATCTGTAAGTAACTGTAAATTTCATAATAGTATCACAATATCCAGTTTTAGTCATCAAAAAAGAATGTTAGTTTGGTGTTTAGAGCATTGAAAATCTGAAGATATTCTGTTCCTGCTTTACTGTGAGTGGATTGTGGAAAAGGTTCATTTACTAGCCTTCTTTTTACAGTTTTATATTAAAAATTTTAACTGGTCACCATTCAGATCTCTTGGCAGATCAATGTTTGCAAATTAGAGCCTGTAAAATGTTGACTTGAGCATTATCCTTCTAAACTATTTCTTATGCAAAGTTTACAATCAATTATTAAGTATGAAAATTTTAAGTCTGAAAGAATGTGGACACTCAAACAATAAAGAAAATTAATTGGCAAATTACACAATAAAATAATTTGTATTATAATTTCATATGAATAAAATAATATCAGTAATGGATGAGATGAATGGTAACTGATGTTCCAGTATCTGGAGATCAGTTGTATCAGCTTCTCTGGAAATTTTACTATAAATAATACATTCTGTAGAAGAAAGACATATTAAGTGTATAACCATTTCTTTAAGATAAACTAATAATGTGGTCATGAGACAGCTACAGTTGAGACTATTAAAGTAGAATAGTAATTAATCATTGCTCTAGGTTAAAAAGTAAACATTTCATTAAAACCTGTAAGTCTCTCAAGGTACCTTATCAAGAAAATAGAAGAACACCTTTACTGCTGCTGGTTTTATAAAGTTGAAAATAGAAAAATAATTTACTTGTAAATTTTTGTTCTTCATACCTAATATCTTATATTTCTTTTCATGCTGAAAACCCAGTGTTACATTCAGAGTTAATTAATAATACGATCAGGTTTATATTTTAAGTAACACAGTGACTCTTTAGGCTACCATAGGTTGTACAGTGATCTTAATAAAAGGGTGGTTTATTTCGGAAGAGTGGACGTTGCATTTTACAGATACAACATGAAACTGTGTAGTATAAAAATGAATTGTTCGTGAGTGATGTAAATTATATATTCTTCTTTTCCTTTTTTCTGTTTCCACTGTCTTTGTTGCTCTTGTAAAGTAATTTGTGTTTTTAAGATGCAACATGAACTTGTGTAGTATAAAAATGAATTTTTCGTGAGTGATGTAAATTATATATTCTTCTTTTCCTTTTTTCTGTTTCCACTGTCTTTGTTGCTCTTGTTAAGTAATTTGTGTTTTAAGGATGCAATGTTTGTACTGTATTTTAGATTTTGGAAACCATTACTGCCAGTAGGTGTTCGTCAACCTGACTTGCAGCTTCTAACAGAAATGACCGTCCCAGTCTTGGACTATAAAACCTGCTAATCAGGAAACCATGCGGATATTAGCTAGCATGTACAGCTACAGTCAGTGATGCTGTTCAAGCAAGTTGGCAGTTTGTAAATACAGAAGTTGGTTGTCAAGGGTGTGGGCCAATATTTTCTGCAGTTAGAGGTATACTGTATTCAAGTATGGGATGTTGGATGAATAAAAACAAGCAAACATTAATACCAATTTCGTTTATATTATTGGATATTTGTTATGGTATACAGATTATGGTAGGTCATGAATTAAAGTTGAAGTTAGTGAATTTAGCAGCAATTGATGGGATATTTTCTGAAGAGCAGCTTGGTTAGAGGAAGAAACATGCACATTTTGTGGTTTTTGTGATTATTGTATTACTTTAAAAAAATTGTTAAATACTTTCTCGGTGTATTTTTATTCGTAGTACATTGCTGTATTGTTTACTAACGTCATTATTTTAATATATTTATCCGTAGTCATCTTTAATGAACTACTTGAAAATTCAAATCTGACTTTACAAATCAGTAGTGATCTTAAAAAAAATAATTAATAATAGGTTAGTGTGTTTTGATCACTGAATATTACAACCATTTTAAGAGTCCTGTTTTTCTTAACTAAATTGTTAGTCAAATATCACAAAACATACTTCGTACTTAAGGTACCTTTTTAGAGTGTTTTAGCTACCTCAAAACCAAACATACTTATTTATGTGTCATTTTTCCTGCACACCCTAGCGTGTTGGTAAATTTTTTTGTGATTTCCTTCTTTTTAAGAGCATTTCTAAAAAAGAAAAAGGTGTTTAGGACTAGACTTTTCATGAAAGATAAACTGTTAATCAATATGGTAATTGCTATTAGTTATTATTAGCATAGCATAATAACTATTAATAGTTGATCTGTAGAATAATTGCAACATTACAATTTTGAGAATTTTGTAAGGACCATGCCGAATATATAAAGTGTATTTTCTGAGTCCATGGAATTTGTATTTAAAAAAAAAAATGGGGGACACTTGAAAAATATAATGTGTAAATGGTGTGTTATTATATAACTAAACAAAATTAAATGTTCACCTTCCATTTTTTCAGAGTAGGATTATAATGATTAAAGTAGTGATACTCGATCTATCTATAAAATAAATTATGAAGAAGAACACTCAATTGTTACTTTATTCCATAATGTCACTGCTGGCTTTGGAGCTAGATGCTAAACCTACAAAAACATAAACGCTTTCAAATGTTGTGTAAAATAGCAACAAATGATATTGTTAAAAATCTGCCTAGATTTTGTTTAGAGCATAACTAATGGTCTCTATAAATTCATTAATAATGACAAACATCAATAAACACGCAAACTGGTGATGTTATGTAATGGAATTGTTGTTTTTAGTTCTTTAAACACAATGTATGTTATGTATATGTGATGTTGGACATTAGGCTTATAACTGTTACAATTATATTAACTGGAAAAAAGTAACATTTTTATTGTAAGCCAAGGAAATAGTTTTGCATGAGAATATAGAGTATTTGAAGACTTTTGTAATTATTTAGTAGGATTAAATTACAGTTTTGGTATCATTTGATATATGAAATAGGAGATTTGTTGTTTTTTCTACTTAAAATTATGATGTTTGTGTTGAAGCAACTTGCACTTGTTGAATATGAATATTCAATGACATATTTTTCTCTAGTATTTGTTTCTGACCTATAATTTTGTTTGTTGTACAGCGCAAAGCTAAACGATTGTGTTGTTCCCACTGTGCGCTCTGAAACCCGACTTGTAGCATTATACGCTATCAAACTTACTGCTAAGCCATCAGGGTACCTGATCACTAATATTCATACCTCATGTGGCACACAAAATACCTAGGAAAGATATGCAAGCTATAGAACAGAACTGAATTATACGAATGATATAAAGTACCAAATTGATAAGGAAAGTAGCTAAGGTGGTGACATTGCCAGCATCCCGTGACTTATTGCTTTTACAGTCACGATTTGGAATTGTTTTGTTTTGTTGCAGTTGTGGCATACTCAAATCTAGTGTGATACATGTTGATTCCAGTGTTTATTATATACAAGTTCATAAAAAAAAACATTAAAAAAAAGATGGAAGTGTGAATAAACAGGCACTTGACAATAACAGGACTAATATCAGTGTTCTTAAGCCTAGCAGTGGTACTACATAGGTTGGGTATACTTGGAGGGGTAAAGGTCAAAAAGGTTAGGAACCAGTTCAAGCATGCCTTTTAATAGCCCAATATAATTATGTTCATGAACAAAGTCTTAATTAATTTAAAATATTATTCTTTAAGGGTTGTCTTCCAGCAGTTTATTGGATGAGTGTTGTACTTTTTTGTTAGTGTTATTATATCATAAATAACTTAAAAGTAGTAAGATGTAAGTTCTAAAAATACATTTCTATTTCATGTAATTGTTAGTAATGGCTAGTCTTCATACTTGCAAAATCCCCCACAAATAGTAGAGTATATTTGTAACACCACTTGCTAAAATATTAAACATTAAAATAACGAATGTATCTTAACTGTCAGTCGGATTCCGTTTACTGTAAAACAAAGATATCACTTGTCATTTCTTCTGCTTTAGGTTGACTTCCAGTTATATTTGGTCTTGGCTTAGTGTGCCCTGATATTTCTGTAATTTTTATTGTTTGTGCGATAATTTTTTTTCCACATGATGATAGCTATGAGATGAAGTTTCAGAATTGTTGTTTAATTAATGTCATTTTAAGTGCAAGTACTGATTTAGAGTAAGTAGTTTTCTGTGGACTTTATTGTTATTAACTCACTCATGGACCGAAAAAAAAGTTTTAACCCCTTAGACATCAACACAACAAAAGTGAATGAAATACCTCAGCATTTACAGATTAAAACCTACTTAGCTACAGTATTCATTATTTGATGCTTAACTTTTGAAAGATACACACTAGAGCTGTAGAAGACTAGGAGTGCCTGAATAGTTTATTCTTAATAATGTGTACTTGTATTTCAGATTTCTATTTCAGTGTATATACTGTGTATTGTATTTATTACACTGTAATAATAAACATTTTCATGTATATGTTTGTTTGTGAATTATATTTTCTGTTAACCTATATAACTAGAAACGTAAACTTATTGATTAGAGCTAGACAATTAACTTGATGTAATCAGTTACCCGTGAAAATCAATGAATTACTTGAAATGATGATTAAGTTGATTAATGTCACAAAAATAATCAACTAATTGCAAATAGTGTTTCCAATTTTTACTAGTTTCAATTATTCGACGAAATAATAACTATCTAATATTTTTCTATTTATTTTGCGTCAAAAAATTATTTTTTTCCAGTTTCCAAAAAAAATCATATTTTCACCTGAAAATCATATTTTCACTGGCTATAGCCAATGTTTTTCCGCAAATTTTGAAAAAAATTGTTTTCCCTCATATTTCAATACAAATATGCCCTTGATGTAAGAGTTTCAATATGAATATCGTTTCATCAAAATTCCCAATGGTTATTTCATAATGTGTTATCAAAATTTTGGCTATCTTCTATTTTGTCTTCATTTATTTTGTAAACAAAGAAGAGCTTTAAAATAAAGTATTCTCAAACAAAATCCCAACACCTAAAAGGCCATGACGTCTTCTTGTAAAATAATCTCAACCTTTTGGTTCCTTTTTACTCTGGGGTAGCGAAAGTTCATTTATTAAAGCATTTCACGGGACACAATATTTTTCGTCAATGCTATAATGTCACAATTTTAAGTTTTTCGATGAAATAGGTTGTAGCCGATAATTTTTTATTTATTTTGCGTGAAAAAATTACTTTTTCCAGTTTCTAAAAAAAATCATATTTTCACTTAAAAGCCAAGGCTATAGCCCATGTTTTTCCGCAAATTTTTCTTGTAAAATAAAGTCCACCTTTTGGTTTGTTTTTACTCTGGGGTAGCGGAAGTTCATTTGTTTTTTAGCTTTTCACGGGACATAATATTTTTCGTCAATGCTATAATGTCACAATTTT